TAAAGTCTTATTCTGAACATGTGTCTGTGGTTCTAAAGTCTTATACTGAACATGTGTCTGTGGTTCTAAAGTCTTATTCTGAACATGTGTCTGTGGTTCTAAAGTCTTATACTGAACATGTGTCTGTGGTTCTAAAGTCTTATACTGAACATGTGTCTGTGGTTCTAAAGTCTTATTCTGAACATGTGTCTGTGGTTCTAAAGTCTTATACTGAACATGTGTCTGTGGTTCTAAAGTCTTATTCTGAACATGTGTCTGTGGTTCTAAAGTCTTATACTGAACATGTGTCTGTGGTTCTAAAGTCTTATTCTGAACATGTGTCTGTGGTTCGAAAGTCTTATACTGAACATGTGTCTGTGGTTCTAAAGTACTGAACATGTGTCTGTGGTTCTAAAGTCTTATATATGTGTCTGTGGTTTCTAAAGTCTTATACTGAACATGTGTCTGTGGTTCTAAAGTCTTATACTGAACATGTGTCTGTGGTTCTAAAGTCTTATACTGAACATGTGTCTGTGGTTCTAAAAGTCTTATACTGAACATGTGTCTGTGGTTCTAAAGTCTTATACTGAACATGTGTCTGTGGTTCTAAAGTCTTATACTGAAACATGTGTCTGTGGTTCTAAAGTCTTATACTGAACATGTGTCTGTGGTTCTAAAGTCTTATACTGAACATGTGTCTGTGGTTCTAAAGTCTTATACTGAACATGTGTCTGTGGTTCTAAAGTCTTATACTGAACATGTGTTCTAAAGTCTTATACTGAACATGTGTCTGTGGTTCTAAAGTCTTATACTGAACATGTGTCTGTGGTTCTAAAGTCTTATTCTGAACATGTGTCTGTGGTTCTAAAGTCTTATTCTGAACATGTGTCTGTGGTTCTAAAGTCTTATACTGAACATGTGTCTGTGGTTCTAAAGTCTTATTCTGAACATGTGTCTGTGGTTCTAAAGTCTTATACTGAACATGTGTCTGTGGGTTCTAAAGTCTTATACTGAACATGTGTCTGTGGTTCTAAAGTCTTATACTGAACATGTGTCTGTGGTTCTAAAGTCTTATACTGAACATGTGTCTGTGGTTCTAAAGTCTTATACTGAACATGTGTCTGTGGTTCTAAAGTCTTATTCTGAACATGTGTCTGTGGTTCTAAAGTCTTATTCTGAACATGTGTCTGTGGTTCTAAAGTCTTATTCTGAACATGTGTCTGTGGTTCTAAAGTCTTATATACTGAACATGTGTCTGTGGTTCTAAAGTCTTATTCTGAACATGTGTCTGTGGTTCTAAAGTCTTATTCTGAACATGTGTCTGTGGTTCTAAAGTCTTATTCTGAACATGTGTCTGTGGTTCTAAAGTCTTATACTGAACATGTGTCTGTGGTTCTAAAGTCTTATCTGAACATGTGTCTGTGGTTCTAAAGTCTTATACTGAACATGTGTCTGTGGTTCTAAAGTCTTATTCTGAACATGTGTCTGTGGTTCTAAAGTCTTATTCTGAACATGTGTCTGTGGTTCTAAAGTCTTATTCTGAACATGTGTCTGTGGTTCTAAAGTCTTATTCTGAACATGTGTCTGTGGTTCTAAAGTCTTATACTGAACATGTGTCTGTGGTTCTAAAGTCTTATCTAAACATGTGTCTGTGGTTCTAAAGTCTTATCTGAACATGTGTCTGTGGTTCTAAAGTCTTATTCTGAACATGTGTCTGTGGTTCTAAAGTCTTATTCTGAACATGTGTCTGTGGTTCTAAAGTCTTATCTGAACATGTGTCTGTGGTTCTAAAGTCTTATTCTGAACATGTGTCTGTGGTTCTAAAGTCTTATACTGAACATGTGTCTGTGGTTCTAAAGTCTTATTCTGAACATGTGTCTGTGGGTTCTAAAGTCTTATTACTGAACATGTGTCTGTGGTTCTAAAGTCTTATTCTGAACATGTGTCTGTGGTTCTAAAGTCTTATTCTGAACATGTGTCTGTGGTTCTAAAGTCTTATACTGAACATGTGTCTGTGGTTCTAAAGTCTTATTCTGAACATGTGTCTGTGGTTCTAAAGTCTTATACTGAACATGTGTCTGTGGTTCTAAAGTCTTATACTGAACATGTGTCTGTGGTTCTAAAGTCTTATTCTGAACATGTGTCTGTGGTTCTAAAGTCTTATACTGAACATGTGTCTGTGGTTCTAAAGTCTTATACTGAACATGTGTCTGTGGTTCTAAAGTCTTATTCTGAACATGTGTCTGTGGTTCTAAAGTCTTATTCTGAACATGTGTCTGTGGTTCTAAAGTCTTATTCTGAACATGTGTCTGTGGTTGGTCTAAAGTCTTATTCTGAACATGTGTCTGTGGTTCTAAAGTCTTATCTGAACATGTGTCTGTGGTTCTAAAGTCTTATTCTGAACATGTGTCTGTGGTTCTAAAGTCTTATTCTGAACATGTGTCTGTGGTTCTAAAGTCTTATTCTGAACATGTGTCTGTGGTTCTAAAGTCTTATTCTGAACATGTGTCTGTGGTTCTAAAGTCTTATACTGAACATGTGTCTGTGGTTCTAAAGTCTTATACTGAACATGTGTCTGTGGTTCTAAAGTCTTATTCTGAACATGTGTCTGTGGTTCTAAAGTCTTATTCTGAACATGTGTCTGTGGTTCTAAAGTCTTATATAAACGTGTGTCTGTGGTTCTAAAGTCTTATATAAACGTGTGTCTGTGGTTCTATAGTCTTACCAAACATGTGTCTGTGGTTCTAAAGTCTTATATAAACGTGTGTCTGTGGTTCTATAGTCTTACCAAACATGTGTCTGTGGTTCTAAAGTCTTATATAAACATGTGTCTGTGGTTCTAAAGTCTAAAACATGATGGTCTGTGTCATATCTATATCTTTTACTAAACGTAGTGAAACATGGGTTCATGGTTCAGTGCCAGTTGTTGTGTTTTCTGCTACTGGGTTGAAACTGGTTAAACTGGTTTTAGTTGGAGCTTGATAGAACTAATTTGATGGACCTGGCGCTGGTGTCTTCTCTCAGTTTGTTTGGACCTTCTCTGAATAAGTCAAAGATCGTAGGGACTGCTGTTTACACTCTTCTTTTTGTTACTTTCATTGCTGCATCCCGGGGCCGTACAAAATACACCCATTTTAAGGTTTATTTGTGTCAAAGCTGCAGCAGTGCCATAAACACTGAGGGAGAGCTGCGACCCCTACAAGTACGTGATCATTTATCTGGCCAATCAGAGGCGTTGATAGTAAAAGGTTATTTTACTGATTTATTACTTATCTATAACACAAAAACACATTGCAAAGGTTGGAAATACATGCTTTTTATGTGTTTTATCAGAAAAAAAATAGTTTTTAATAACGTTAGTGCCCTTTTAAGACCAAATCTTTCAAAGCAGTGAAAGAGGAACCTCCAACTGACACAATCGAAGGCCTTTTCAGCATCTAAACTTAGCAGTACAGCACTTTCTTTTTCTGTATTTCTTCTATAATGTGCAGAGTCCTAATATTATCTTGGGTTTGTCGTCCCCTTATAAAGCCTGATTGGTCTTCGTCTATCAGTTCAGACACAAAGGTCTGGAATCGGTTAGATATAATGGATGTGGTGGGCGACAGTAGCTCAGTTGGTAGAGCATTGGCCTTTGAGCCTGAAGGTCGTGGGTTCAAGCCCACCGTAAGACCTACTTCATGACTCCCACTGATGACTGCTGTCGTTGTGTCCTTGGGCAAGACACTTAACCCCACTTTGCCTGAAGCCCCTGCTGAAAGATCTCAGCTCCTGTGGACTCACCACCTGCAGGAGGGTCAGTGAGGGGCTGGTGCTCTGTGACTGGATGGCATCTCTGGCCACCCCCCGACCCAGAAATGGATTAAGGGGAAGAAAATGGATGGATGGATGATGGATGTGTAGATCTTATAGTCACAGTTTAATATTGATATAGGTCTGTAGTTTTCACAGAGTTCCTCGTCTTTGCCCGCCTTATGGATAACTGTAATTACAGCTTCATTCCATGAGGGGGCAGGACGCCGGGTTTGAGCGTGTGGTTGAGTGAAGCCAATAACAATGGAAGCCGTCTGTTCCTGGAAACTTATTCCATTTCATTTTTTAAAATTGTATTTTCCAATTCTTTTTCTGTTATTTGTGTACATAATATAGCATTTTGTGACTCGCCTATATTTGGAAGATCTAATGAATTTAGAAATAATTCAATTGTTTCATCATCTGCCGATTCAGGCTGAGAGTAAAGGTTTGAGTAATAACCTTCAAATGCCTCTTCGATCTCTTCTGGTTTATATACTGAAGTTTTGGATTTGGGGTCTCTAATTTTATAGATGGTGTTCTGTTGTTTATTTCTTAATTGTCTAGCGAGAGATTTTGTTGATTTAGGTCTACCTTCATAATATGTTTGTTTTAAAAATCTTATTTTCTTTTCTACTTCTTCAGTTAATAAACTATCAACCTTTTTTCTTGCTTCCATTACATTGAGAGCTTCTTTATTTTTGTTATTCCTCTTATGTATTTGTTCTAATACTTAAAGTTGTTCCGTGGCAGTCTTAAATTCTAGAAGCCTTTTCTTTTTGATAAATGCTGCATGAGATATTAATTTACCCCTTGTTACCGCTTTCAAGGCCTCCCATACTAGTTTCCCCATTATTGTTCTTTTTGGTATAGATTTATTTCCTTTTTAATCTTTTCAATTAATTGCTGGTCGTTTAACATCCCAACGTTCAATCTCCAATTTGTGGTCTTATTTTTCCTGCTAAGGTCTAATGTGAAATTCAAGGCACTATGATCTGATAAATCAGCTACTCCTATTTTACAGTCAATAATTCAAAATCGATCTTTATTCATGAAAAAATAGTCTATTCTTGTGTGTACTGAATGTGGGGGAGAGTAGAACGTATAGTCCCTTTGTAAAGGGTGGCACTCGCGCCAAACATCTATGATCCCAACTCTGTTATTGTCGTATGAATGTATCGTGACAGATGTGATTTACTGTTCCTCTTGGTACTGCTAGAATCCAGGGTATGGTTCAAAAGAACAAACCAGTGTACCCTCCGATTCCAAAGTAATGTGATCAAACACTGACTTGTAGAATGATTTTTCAGATTCTGGAGGGGCATATTTATTAAACAATGTGACAATATTGTTTTCCAGCTTCCCCTTTACCAGAACATACCTTCTTTGTCTTTTATTTCTTTTTAGACACTCAAATTTTATTTTGTTGGAGACTAAGATTGCTACTCCTCGTTTACTACCTCCTTTAAATGAGCTATAACAAGTATTATTAAAACCCCGTTTTTGTATTTTTTGATGCTCTGTATTCAGGAGGTGGGTTTCTTGTAGAAAGATTATTTCTGCTTTTTCCTTTTTAAATTTAGCTAGAACCTTTGCCCTTTTAATTTAATTATTTAGTCCATTCACATTAAGAGAGGTGAAATTCACATTATGTTGGTGCATTTGAACACAGAAAATCGTTAAACAGTCTGACCCTGAAAGCAATAGGAACACTTAGAACAAACACTAAAACAAAAATACAGGCCATCCGGTAAGTGATAGGACCTGCAGTAGGTCCTGGTGTCCCGTTGGTCGGGGAGGGCCCCTCTGTAGATGTAGGTGGGACATCTTTATGTCCACCTCGCATGCTACTTGTCCAACAATCTTGTACTAGGCTTCCTACCAGTCACTTATCACGATTATCTTTAAAGGAAGGTAAATAAAAGCAAAAGCAAAACATTTCTTAACCTCTAAAAATTAAATAAACATTAAGGAAGTAGTCTCCTTGCAGATTATGCTCAGAATAAAGATAGATAAAACGACTGCAGAAACGGTATATTAAGATAAGATAACTATTTATTTCAGGTAACTAAAAATAAAATAGTTAAGTGTCACCTCCCATATTATTTCTCTTCACTTTGTCTCCGAAACTCCTGCAGCCTCTCCCTCGCTCTTTGACTCAGGTCCCTGGTCGTTACCTCCAGTCCCCTCTGCTGCCCTGGTCGTTACCTCCAGTCCCCTCTGCTGCCCTGGTCGTTACCTCCAGTCCCCTCTGCTGCCCTGGTCGTTACCTCCAGTCCCCTCTGCTGCCCTGGTCGTTACCTCCAGTCCCCTCTGCTGCCCTGGTCGTTAACTCCAGTCCCCTCTGCTGCCCTGGTCGTTACCTCCAGTCCCCTCTGCTGCATCTCTTCTGCTGCCCTGGTCGTTACCTCCAGTCCCCTCTCCTGCATCTCCTCTGCTGCCCTGGTCGTTACCTCTAGTCCCCTCTGCTGCATCTCTTCTGCTGCCCTGGTCGTTACCTCCAGTCCCCTCTCCTGCATCTCTTCTGCTGCCCTGGTCGTTACCTCTAGTCCCCTCTGCTGCATCTCTTCTGCTGCCCTGGTCATTACCTCCAGTCCCCTCTCCTGCATCTCCTCTGCTGCCCTGGTCGTTACCTCCAGTCCCCTCTGCTGCATCTCCTCTGCTGCCCTGGTCGTTACCTCCAGTCCCCTCTCCTGCATCTCCTCTGCTGCCCTGGTTGTTACCTCCAGTCCCCGCTGCTGCATCTCTTCTGCTGCCCTGGTCGTTACCTCCAGTCCCCTCTGCTGCATCTCCTCTGCTGCCCTGGTCGTTACCTCTAGTCCCCTCTGCTGCATCTCTTCTGCTGCCCTGGTCGTTACCTCCAGTCCCCTCTGCTGCCCTGGTCGTTACCTCTAGTCCCCTCTGCTGCATCTCTCCTGCTGCCCTGGTTGTTACCTCCAGTCCCCTCTCCTGCATCTCCTCTGCTGCCCTGGTTGTTACCTCCAGTCCCCTCTCCTGCATCTCCTCTGCTGCCCTGGTCGTTACCTACAGTCCCCTCTGCTGCATCTCCTCTGCTGCCCTGGTCGTTACCTCCAGTCCCCTCTCCTGCATCTCCTCTGCTGCCCTGGTCGTTACCTCCAGTCCCCTCTGCTGCCCTGGTCGTTACCTCCAGTCCCCTCTCCTGCATCTCTTCTGCTGCCCTGGTCGTTACCTACAGTCCCCTCTGCTGCATCTCCTCTGCTGCCCTGGTCGTTACCTCCAGTCCCCTCTGCTGCATCTCCTCTGCTGCCCTGGTCGTTACCTCCAGTCCCCTCTCCTGCATCTCTTCTGCTGCCCTGGTCGTTACCTCTAGTCCCCTCTGCTGCATCTCTTCTGCTGCCCTGGTCATTACCTCCAGTCCCCTCTCCTGCATCTCCTCTGCTGCCCTGGTCGTTACCTCCAGTCCCCTCTCCTGCATCTCCTCTGCTGCCCTGGTCGTTACCTCCAGTCCCCTCTCCTGCATCTCTTCTGCTGCCCTGGTCGTTACCTCCAGTCCCCTCTCCTGCATCTCCTCTGCTGCCCTGGTCGTTACCTCCAGTCCCCTCTCCTGCATCTCCTCTGCTGCCCTGGTTGTTCCCTCCAGTCCCCTCTCCTGCATCTCCTCTGCTGCCCTGGTTGTTACCTCCAGTCCCCTCTGCTGCATCTCTTCTGCTGCCCTGGTCGTTACCTCCAGTCCCCTCTGCTGCATCTCCTCTGCTGCCCTGGTCGTTACCTCTAGTCCCCTCTGCTGCATCTCTTCTGCTGCCCTGGTCGTTACCTCCAGTCCCCTCTGCTGCCCTGGTCGTTACCTCCAGTCCCCTCTCCTGCATCTCTTCTGCTGCCCTGGTCGTTACCTCCAGTCCCCTCTCCTGCATCTCCTCTGCTGCCCTGGTTGTTACCTCCAGTCCCCTCTCCTGCATCTCCTCTGCTGCCCTGGTCGTTACCTACAGTGCCCTCTGCTGCATCTCCTCTGCTGCCCTGGTCGTTACCTCCAGTCCCCTCTCCTGCATCTCCTCTGCTGCCCTGGTCGTTACCTACAGTCCCCTCTGCTGCATCTCTTCTGCTGCCCTGGTCGTTACCTACAATCCCCTCTCCTGCATCTCTTCTGCTGCCCTGGTCGTTACCTCCAGTCCCCTCTGCTGCCCTGGTCGTTACCTCCAGTCCCCTCTGCTGCATCTCTTCTGCTGCCCTGGTCGTTACCTACAGTCCCCTCTGCTGCCCTGGTCGTTACCTCCAGTCCCCTCTCCTGCATCTCCTCTGCTGCCCTGGTCGTTACCTCCAGTCCCCTCTCCTGCATCTCTTCTGCTGCCCTGGTCGTTACCTCCAGTCCCCTCTCCTGCATCTCCTCTGCTGCCCTGGTCGTTACCTCCAGTCCCCTCTGCTGCCCTGGTCGTTACCTCCAGTCCCCTCTCCTGCATCTCTTCTGCTGCCCTGGTCGTTACCTCCAGTCCCCTCTCCTGCATTTCCTCTGCTGCCCTGGTTGTTACCTCCAGTCCCCTCTCCTGCATCTCCTCTGCTGCCCTGGTCGTTACCTACAGTGCCCTCTGCTGCATCTCCTCTGCTGCCCTGGTCGTTACCTCCAGTCCCCTCTCCTGCATCTCCTCTGCTGCCCTGGTCGTTACCTACAGTCCCCTCTGCTGCATCTCTTCTGCTGCCCTGGTCGTTACCTACAATCCCCTCTCCTGCATCTCTTCTGCTGCCCTGGTCGTTACCTCCAGTCCCCTCTGCTGCCCTGGTCGTTACCTCCAGTCCCCTCTGCTGCATCTCTTCTGCTGCCCTGGTCGTTACCTACAGTCCCCTCTGCTGCCCTGGTCGTTACCTCCAGTCCCCTCTCCTGCATCTCCTCTGCTGCCCTGGTCGTTACCTCCAGTCCCCTCTCCTGCATCTCTTCTGCTGCCCTGGTCGTTACCTCCAGTCCCCTCTCCTGCATCTCCTCTGCTGCCCTGGTCGTTACCTCCAGTCCCCTCTGCTGCATCTCTTCTGCTGCCCTGGTCGTTACCTACAGTCCCCTCTCCTGCATCTCTTCTGCTGCCCTGGTCGTTACCTCCAGTCCCCTCTCCTGCATCTCCTCTGCTGCCCTGGTCGTTACCTCCAGTCCCCTCTCCTGCATCTCTTCTGCTGCCCTGGTCGTTACCTACAGTCCCCTCTCCTGCATCTCTTCTGCTGCCCTGGTCGTTACCTCCAGTCCCCTCTGCTGCATCTCCTCCGCTGCTTCGTGTGGACTCCTGTAGGTCTTGGGGGCATCAGTCCAGTGGATTTTAATCTTAGTTAATGGCGTCTGAAATCTGATACCGTTTCTTTCAGCACTTTCTTTATGCCTCCGTACGCTTTGCGTTGTTGGACTACTTCGTACGCGTAGTCTTGGTCAAAGAAAAGTGGTTTTCCTTCAATTTTCAAACGTTTCTGCCAAGCCTTCTTCAGGATCATCTCTTTTATGTCAAACCGGAGAAAGTTCACAACGATGGAGCGCGGCGCCCTGAGCAGGTCTCCCGGCGGCTGCCCTGAGCAGGTCTCCCAGCGGCTGCCCTGAGCAGGTCTCCCAGCGGCTGCCCTGAGCAGGTCTCCCAGCAGCTGCCCAGAGCAGGTCTCCCGGCGGCTGCCCTGAGCAGGTCTCCCAGCGGCTGCCCTGAGCAGGTCTCCCAGCAGCTGCCCAGAGCAGGTCTCCCGGCGGCTGCCCAGAGCAGGTCTCCCAGCAGCGCCCTGTGTGCCCGCTGGATCATGAGAGGAGTCTCCGCTGGTAACTCCAGTTCTCTCCGGAGAAAACTCTCCACGAAGCGGGGCACGGAGTCACCCTCTGTCCCTTCAGGTATTCCAAAGATACGCATATTGTTTCTCCGCGATCTCTCCTCCAAGTCTGTGAGCTTGTTTTTGAGAATCCTTTGTTCTTTTAGGACTTTTATAATGGCATCCTTTGCTTCGGTGCTCCATTCTTCAACTTCGCCAATGCGTGTGTGAGCTTCTTTCAAAGACTCGTTTAGGTCTTTCACTGCTCGCTCGTTGTCATCCAGTCTCTTGTTTATATCAACCTTGAATTTATCAAACTCCTTCTTAATATCTGCCTTAAGCCTAGTTTATACTCGCGCGGCGCGGAGCTTACGGAGGTGACGTCACTTGCGCAACGCGTTGGTCACCGCAAGGCCCTTACGTCGCCTGCCGCGCAGCATCGACATTTTCTAACTACGTAAGGGTCGCCGCAAGGAAGCTCCGCTGTGATTGGTCCATGTGTGAGAGAAGCTCCGCTGTGATTGGTCCGTGTGTGTGTATTGGAAGGAAGCATGAAGCGGCTGCAGCAGGAGCATGGACGAGGCACTATGGAGCAGAGAGCTTTGTGCTTTGAAGGAAAAGCAGTTTGGGCTCAGAGCCTGATATACAGGAGACTGTGGACTATCTAACATATATATAACTTATATCTAACATATATATAACTTATAAACTGTGCAGTCGTTTGTTTTGCACTGTTCCTGTCTTTGTTTGAATCGTAGCTGCGTTTGTTGCTTTCCTCCTGCACTCTTAAATCGTTCATGTTTGTCTCAGATATTTACCACTATTATTGTTTTGCTGTTTGTGCTGAAAACTAATAAATAATAACTGTTTCCAACAAGAACTGTGTCTTTATTCAAAGCATCACAGTTGAAATGACTTATAAAATAATGAATCCATAAAACTATCACGTAAACCTACAGTAGAAACACGTGTAATGAGCTCAAACAGCTTTGTTTGTTATTGTTGTTCTGAAGAGGACAAAGTAGCAGCGTAAATGGGACCGCTCCTGTGTGATCGCCCTCATGTGGTTTGTTGTGGGATTACAACATTCTCCTCAAAACTCCGTAAGGGGAACGCGCCAGTATAACATCAATTGTGCTTACGTAGGTCCACCGCAACCGCTAACGTAAGCCACGCCGCGCAAGTATACACTAGGCTTTAACTTCTTCTTTAAAAGACTGAAATCCCTGTTTGATTTCTTGACTTAGAGCTTCCATTTGCTTCGTCATGTCGGGTAGCGCGGTTAGCCATGATGGGATGCTAGCCACTAGCATGTTAGCTCCGCTTTCTTCGGTAGAGGCTACATTTTCTTCCATGTCGCCTTCTTGCTGTTTGTTTCGGGTTCTTCGAGTTTGACGCCCTTCGCGTTTGTCTCCCCCACTCATATCACCTTTTGATGTTGAATTCAGATGTCTTTGTTGTCTGAATGGGGTTAGATTGTATTTGACTGGCAAGAGCTCCGAATTATGCTGCCATTCCCCTCGTTGCCTGCGTGCCTCCCCTTAACCGACAGCTTTGACCGGTTAATGCTGTGATGGTCAACCACGGTTGAACGGTCACCGATTTACATCCCTAATTCTGACACACACACACATTATCTGTGTCCATTCTGACACACACAAAACTCTCCTAGTCTAGGTCTCCTCCTGCTGGTTGTGAGGCGCCAATGCAGCCCCTAGGCCCCGACTCCACCGGCTGTGTAAAACAGACTACGTATCCGTCCAAACGTGTCCATGTTCTGGGACTAGAATACACACATCCATCCAAATACTTTACACTTTTTCTGGGAGCGGGGATGAGGATTTGGGCTTTGTTGTGTGTCAGTGCTGTGGTGGTGTTGTGTTGTTGTACTTGCCTTGAGGATGTACTGCTCTCCGGTCAGAGAGTAGGACTGACCCCCGATGTTGAAGGTGATGGAGGGAAGCGTGGGCACTTTGTCACAGCTCACCATGTACTGAACACACAACAACACACAACATCAACACAGCTCACCATGTACTGAACACACAACAACACACAACATCAACACAGCTCACCATGTACTGAACACACAACAACACACAACATCAACACAGCTCACCATGTACTGAACACACAACAACACACAACATCAACACAGTTCACCATGTACTGAACACACAACACACAACATCAACACAGTTCACCATGTACTGAACACACAACACACAACATCAACACAGATCACCATGTACTGAACACACAACAACACACAACATCAACACAGCTCACCATGTACTGAACACACAACAACACACAACATCAACACAGCTCACCATGTACTGAACACACAACAACACACAACATCAACACAGCTCACCATGTACTGAACACACAACAACACACAACATCAACACAGCTCACCATGTACTGAACACACAACAACACACAACATCAACACAGTTCACCATGTACTGAACACACAACACACAACATCAACACAGCTCACCATGTACTGAACACACAACAACACACAACATCAACACAGCTCACCATGTACTGAACACACATCAACACAGCTCACCATGTACTGAACACACAACACACAACATCAACACAGATCACCATGTACTGAACACACAACAACACACATCAACACAGCTCACCATGTACTGAACACACAACAACACACAACATCAACACAGCTCACCATGTACTGAACACACAACAACACACAACATCAACACAGCTCACCATGTACTGAACACACAACAACACACAACATCAACACAGCTCACCATGTACTGAACACACAACACACAACATCAACACAGCTCACCATGTACTGAACACACAACAACACACAACATCAACACAGCTCACCATGTACTGAACACACAACAACACACAACATCAACACAGCTCACCATGTACTGAACACACAACAACACACAACATCAACACAGTTCACCATGTACTGAACACACAACACACAACATCAACACAGCTCACCATGTACTGAACACACAACAACACACAACATCAACACAGCTCACCATGTACTGAACACACAACATCAACACAGCTCACCATGTACTGAACACACAACAACACACAACATCAACACAGCTCACCATGTACTGAACACACAACAACACACAACATCAACACAGCTCACCATGTACTGAACACACAACAACACACAACATCAACACAGCTCACCATGTACTGAACACACAACAACACACAACATCAACACAGCTCACCATGTACTGAACACACATCAACACAGCTCACCATGTACTGAACACACAACAACACACAACATCAACACAGCTCACCATGTACTGAACACACAACAACACACAACATCAACACAGCTCACCATGTACTGAACACACAACAAGATCTTTACTGAAAGTTCACACACAAATTCAGTGTCTGTCCGTGCGTGTGTGTGTCTGTGTCTGTGTGTGTGTGTGTATGTCAATGTGTGTGTGTGTGTGTGCATGAGTGAGCGTGTGTGTGTGTGTCTGTGTGTCTGTGTGTGTGTGTGTGTCTGTGTGTGTCTGTGTGTGTGTGTGTGTGTGTGTGTGTGTGTGTGTGTGTGTGTGTGTGTGTGTGTGTGTGTGTGTGTGTGTGTATGTGTGTGTGTGTGTCTGTGTGCACTTGTTTTCAACTCCTGGTGGGTTCCATAACCTGAGATTCCACTCACGTCATGGGGACTGGTTTTACGTGGTGGGGCCCGAACACCGGACCCCACTGGTCCAAGCTTAATAATCAATGGGTAATGCTTTTCTAACGGTCCTTATGCAGTCTCTGTAAAAATATGGAAAGGACCCCTGGAGGTTTACTTTCCTGAAAAAAAGTGTGTTATGTGTCGGAACCCTGGTGGTGGGTTGCGGGATATCAAGGAGGGGCACACTGGGGCAATTTCAGTCCAGCAGGCTGGAGCCAATCATGGAGCAGCACAACAGAGGCTGGAGCCAATCATGGAGCAGCACAACAGAGGAAATCAGGTGTCAGGCTAGAAAAAGGTGCAAGTGTGTGGTTCATTAGGCTGCAAGAAATCATGGAGGAGCACACTGAAGCGCACGCTTACAAACCACTGGTAAGTGCTGACTACAAGTCATGACTTCAAATTGTTATATAGAATGATTACAAATTATTTGTTGTTTGTGCAGCTTAGTCAAGAGTCCCTAATTGATGAAGTCGACTCAGATTCTGACGATTTAACTGTCAAGAAGAAACCTGTAAAAAAGTATGGAAAAAGAAAAATCAAAAACACTTTTCTTCAAGACTCGGAAAGTGACGAACCAAAGGCAAATAAGATTGTAATTCAAAAATAGAATCACTGCAATTCGAAAACAAAATCTAAAATAAAATTCCTTTAAAATAGTTGTTTGGTTTCTATTGACTGTTTTGTATTACTTAAAGTAGTCCCAGTAAAAAAAGATTATGTCTATGGGTCCCATTCTGAACGGCCCTGTCAAAGGGACCCACCAGGTAACAAAAACGTGTATGTCCGTGTCCGTGTCCGTGTCCGTGTCCGTGTGCGTGTGCGTGTCAGACCTCTCCCTGGATCAGGGGCAGCGCTCCTATAGCCTTGTGCAGAGCTTTGACCTCTGCTGCGGGGCCAGTGATCAGAGAGGTCCCTGTGTCCACGATGACCTCACAACCATCTGTGCAGAGGCCCAGCTGAGAGCCCACCTGCAGACTGCAACACACACACACACACACATCAGAGACACACACACAGACATCAGAGACACACAGACACACACAGACACACACATCAGAGACACACAGGCTCTCCTCTCCTCACCCGTCCATGTGGATCTGCCAGTAGGCCAGTCGGGTGACGTTGTTGTAGTGGAAGTCTCCAGAGAAGTATTTGGGGTCAGTTCCTCCGAGCAGCAGCTCTCCTCCAGGAGCAGAGTCTGGGTTCCTACACAACAACAGCAGATCAACAACAGACACACAACAACAACATAAACAGACACAACAACAGATACAGAACATGTGAAGAGACTTATCCACAGTCCTACCACCAGAGGGCACTGCTGTTCCGTTTAACTGTTCATGAGTCTGAGCAACAACACAACTGTTCATGAGTCTGAGCAACAACACAACTGTTCATGAGTCTGAGCAACAACACAACTGTTCATGAGTCTGAGCAACAACACAACTGTTCATGAGTCTGAGCAACAACACAACTGTTCATGAGTCTGAGCAACAACACAACTGTTCATGAGTCTGAGCAACAACACAACTGTTCATGAGTCTGAGCAACAACACAACTGTTCATGAGTCTGAGCAACAACACAACTGTTCATGAGTCTGAGCAACAACACAAACCTCCTGTACGCACCTCAGTCACAGACAGGACAGTGCACCTCACAGTCACAGACAGAGGACAGTGCACCTCACAGTCACAGACAGAGGACAGTGCACCTCACAGTCACAGACAGAGGACAGTGCACCTCACAGTCACAGACAGAGAGGACAGTGCACCTCACAGTCACAGACAGAGAGGACAGTGCACCTCACAGTCACAGACAGAGAGGACAGTGCACCTCACAGTCACAGACAGAGAGGACAGTGAACCTCACAGTCACAGACAGAGAGGACAGTGCACCTCACAGTCACAGACAGAGAGGACAGTGCACCTCACAGTCACAGACAGAGAGGACAGTGCACCTCACAGTCACAGACAGAGAGGACAGTGAACCTCACAGTCACAGACAGAGAGGACAGTGCACCTCACAGTCACAGACAGAGAGGACAGTGCACCTCACAGTCACAGACAGAGAGGACAGTGCACCTCACAGTCACAGACAGAGAGGACAGTGCACCTCACAGTCACAGACAGAGAGGACAGTGCACCTCACAGTCACAGACAGAGAGGACAGTGCACCTCACAGTCACAGACAGAGAGGACAGTGCACCTCACAGTCACAGACAGAGAGGACAGTGCACCTCACAGACAGGACAGTGCACCTCACAGTCACAGACAGAACAGTGCACCTCACAGTCACAGACAGAGAGGACAGTGCACCTCACAGTCACAGACAGAGAGGACAGTGCACCTCACAGTCACAGACAGAGAGGACAGTGCACCTCACAGTCACAGACAGAGAGGACAGTGCACCTCACAGTCACAGACAGAGAGGACAGTGCACCTCACAGTCACAGACAGAGAGGACAGTGCACCTCACAGTCACAGACAGAGAGGACAGTGCACCTCACAGTCACAGACAGAGAGGACAGTGCACCTCACAGTCACAGACAGAGAGGACAGTGCACCTCACAGTCACAGACAGAGAGGACAGTGCACCTCACAGTCACAGACAGAGAGGACAGTGCACCTCACAGTCACAGACAGAGAGGACAGTGCACCTCACAGTCACAGATAGAGAGGACAGTGCACCTCACAGTCACAGACAGAGAGGACAGTGCACCTCACAGTCACAGACAGAGAGGACAGTGCACCTCACAGTCACAGACAGAGGACAGTGCACCTCACAGTCACAGACAGAGAGGACAGTGCTCCTCACAGTCACAGACAGAGAGGACAGTGCACCTCACAGTCACAGACAGAGAGGACAGTGCTCCTCACAGTCACAGACAGAGAGGACAGTGCACCTAACAGTCACAGACAGAGAGGACAGTGCACCTCACAGTCACAGACAGAGGACAGTGCACCTCACAGTCACAGACAGAGGACAGTGCACCTCACAGTCAGACAGAGAGGACAGTGCACCTCACAGTCACAGACAGAGGACAGTGCACCTCACAGACAGAGGACAGTGCACCTCACAGTCACAGACAGAGAGGACAGTGCACCTCAGTCACAGACAGAGAGGACAGTGCACCTCACAGTCACAGACAGAGGACAGTGCACCTCACAGTCACAGACAGTGCACCTCACAGTCACAGACAGGACAGTCTATACATCATATATCACACACACACACTATACTTACATCACCTGTAGAGGGGGGGGGAGTCATTCTGTGGAGGGGGGGAGTCACCTGTGTGGGGGGGGGGTCACCTGTTTAGGTAGAAGGAGAAGACGTTCTGTTCCAGCTTCTTCTGGAGCATCATGTTGTCGAACACTGGGTCCACTCCGTCCACAGAGATGCGGGGGAAGGCCATCCCCAGGATCCCATCAAACTTAGCAGCAACGAAGACGATCCCAGGCTGCTTTATGGCCTCTCCAAACAGCTGCCTCTCCACCGGCAGGCCCCCCACCTGAGGGAGAGAGAGGTACAAGAGATCAGACACATGACCCCCCCACCTGAGGGAGAGAGAGGTACGAGAGATCAGACACATGACCCCCCCCAACCGAGGGAGAGAGAGGTACAAGAGATCAGACACATGACCCCCCCACCTGAGGGAGAGAGGTACAAGAGATCAGACACATGACCCCCCCAACCGAGGGAGAGAGAAGGTACAAGAGATCAGACACATAACCCCCCCCCCAACCGAGGGAGAGAGAGGTACGAGAGATCAGACACATGACCCCCCCACCTGAGGGAGAGAGAGGTACAAGAGATCAGACACATGACCCCCCCACCTGAGGGAGAGAGAGGTACGAGAGATCAGACACATGACCCCCCCACCTGAGGGAGAGAGAGGTACGAGAGATCAGACACATGACCCCCCCCCCTGAGGGAGAGAGAGGTACGAGAGATCAGACACATGACCCCCCCCCCCACCTGAGGGAGAGAGAGGTACAAGAGATCAGACACATGACCCCCCCAACCGAGGGAGAGAGAGGTACAAGAGATCAGACACATGACCCCCCCCACCTGAGGGAGAGAGAGGTACAAGAGATCAGACACATGACCCCCCCCAACCGAGGGAGAGAGAGGTACAAGAGATCAGACACATGACCCCCCCACCTGAGGGAGAGAGAGGTACGAGAGATCTGACACATGACCCCCCCACCTGAGGGAGGGAGAGGTACGAGAGATCCGACACATGACCCCCCCCACCTGAGGGGGAGAGAGGTACGAGAGATCAGACACATGACCCCCCCACCTGAGGGGGAGAGAGGTACGAGAGATCAGACACATGACCCCCCCCACCTGAGGGAGAGAGAGGTACGAGAGATCAGACACATGACCCCCCCACCTGAGGGAGAGAGAGGTACGAGAGATCAGACACATGACCCCCCCACCTGAGGGAGAGAGAGGTACGAGAGATCAGACACATGACCCCCCCAACCGAGGGAGAGAGAGGTACAAGAGATCAGACACATAACCCCCCCCAACCGAGGGAGAGAGAGGTACGAGAGATCAGACACATGACCCCCCCACCTGAGGGAGAGAGAGGTACAAGAGATCAGACACATGACCCCCCCACCTGAGGGAGAGAGAGGTACGAGAGATCAGACACATGACCCCCCCAACCGAGGGAGAGAGAGGTACGAGAGATCAGACACATGACCCCCCCACCTGAGGGAGAGAGAGGTACGAGAGATCAGACACATGACCCCCCCACCTGAGGGAGAGAGAGGTACGAGAGATCAGACACATGACCCCCCCACCTGAGGGAGAGAGAGGTACGAGAGATCAGACACATGACCCCCCCCCCACCTGAGGGAGAGAGAGGTACAAGAGATCAGACACATGACCCCCCCAACCGAGGGAGAGAGAGGTACAAGAGATCAGACACATGACCCCCCCAACCGAGGGAGAGAGAGGTACGAGAGATCAGACACATGACCCCCCCAACCGAGGGAGAGAGAGGTACAAGAGATCAGACACATGACCCCCCCACCTGAGGGAGAGAGAGGTACGAGAGATCCGACACATGACCCCCCCACCTGAGGGAGAGAGAGGTACGAGAGATCCGACACATGACCCCCCCCACCTGAGGGAGAGAGAGGTACGAGAGATCAGACACATGACCCCCCCACCTGAGGGGGAGAGAGGTACGAGAGATCAGACACATGACCCCCCCACCTGAGGGAGAGAGAGGTACGAGAGATCAGACACATGACCCCCCCACCTGAGGGAGAGAGAGGTACGAGAGATCAGACACATGACCCCCCCACCTGAGGGAGAGAGAGGTACGAGAGATCAGACACATGACCCCCCCCACCTGAGGGAGAGAGAGGTAGGACCGAGAGCTCACACACGATTTGCTGTTTGTCAGAGCATAAAGAGTTTAAAGCTGATCTTAGAGACTCACGGAGCAGGTGTCCTGGCTCAGGTATCCTGACAGACTTCCGGATCCATACTGAATGGCAAACGCCGTCCCGTTCTTCACGTATGTGCTGGACTTGGCCCCGTTGTATTTATGATGCAACACTGCGGACAGAGAGAGGAAGCTCTAATCAGAGCTGCACACAGAGAGGGGACGCTCTAATCAGAGATGACATTATCTCCTATAGAATGCCCCTTGGAAAATGTATCATTTGAGCATGCTTCTTTTAAAGAAGAATGCTCCTGTAAAAGCTGTCTCAGATCATATGGCCCTGACCTGTGGAGTGTAAAAACAGTGAAACAAATCTGCACAGCTCCCAATTTTATTCACTGTTTTAACGTTTTGCAATTTTTTAATCCAGCACGCTCGCCCAGACTACAGGGATGTGCGGCCTTATTTGAAATTTTCCTGATCTGTGGAGTACCACAGGGGTCGATCCAGGGACCTCTTCTGCTCACATGCTGCCGCCACATTAGTCCAGTTCTCAGGTCTCTGCACTGGCTTCAGAATAGACTTTAAAGCAGCTCTGTCTCTCCACAGCGACACAGGGAAAGTACATCTGAGATATGAACCAACTCTGGGACCAGCAGGAGGCTAGCTCCTGTGCTTCTTAGAGTCAGACTCGGACTCAGAACTAAACATGAAGAGGAGACGTTTCAGATTCATGCAGTTAAAATCTGGAACAGTCTTCCTGAAGATGTGAGACAGGCGTCTACTCTGACGATGTTCAAATCCAGGTTAAAGATGGTTCCGTTTGCCTCCGCTACAACTGAAGGATTTATCTCTTCTTTTTAATGCTCGGTGCTTCTATCTTAATTTAATCCATGTGTTGATGTGTGTGGACTGTTGTTTTGTGTAGGAAAAGAGCTGCACACAGAGAGGCGGCTCTAATCAGAGCTGCACACAGAGAGGGGGGCTCTAATCCTCAGGTGCTTCAGTGTGAGGGTGCTTGGTTCCTCACAGCAGGCGATGTCCAGAAGAGAGCAGTGCACTGATGGGACCCACAGGTTTGAGGAGCCAGTGTCAAAGACCACAGTGAAGGGCTGAGGCGGGGTTCCCAGGCTGATCTCCCCGTAGTACTGCGCCTGCAACAACACACACAGACTGTACCACTGCGCCTGCAACAACACACACAGACTGTACCACTGCGCCTGCAACAACACACACAGACTGTACCACTGCGCCTGCAACAACACACACAGACTGTACCACTGCGCCTGCAACAACACACACAGACTGTACCACTGCGCCTGCAACAACACACACAGACTGTACCACTGCGCCTGCAACAACACACACAGACTGTACCACTGCGCCTGCAACAACACACACAGACTGTACCACTGCGCCTGCAACAACACACACAGACTGTACCACTGCGCCTGCAACAACACACACAGACTGTACCACTGCGCCTGCAACAACACACACAGACTGTACCACTGCGCCTGCAACAACACACACAGACTGTACCACTGCGCCTGCAACAACACACACAGACTGTACCACTGCGCCTGCAACAACACACACAGATCAGACTGTGTGTGTACCTGTGTGTGTATTGTTCATGAACACATCACTCCGTCGTCCCACAGTCGCACACACAAACACACGCTCATTCACCCTGAACTATTGCACATGTTTTTAGTGGTAGGGGAAACCGGCGTAACCGGAGGAAACCTACGCAGACATGGGGAGAACATGCAAACTCCACTCAGAAAGATTAGACTTTATTGATCTCGCACGGGAAAAATGTACATGTCACATCTGGCAACAGAAAGGCCCTGCTCCGACCTGGATTCGAACCCAGAACCTTCTTGCTGAGAAGCAAGAGTGCTATCCACTCAGCCACTGTGCCGGCAGTTTGTATCCATAAACTGCTGAGTCAACAGAGTTCAACCTCAGACTGTGATAATCTAATCTAATCCTCTAATACAGTGTTTTTCAACCACTGTGCCGTGAGAAATTCGTCCACTTTGTCTAAAAATAACTGCATTCGCTGTTGGCGAGCGGTGACTTGTTTTGAACTGTGGAGTAACCATGTAAAACTTTTTCATATCAGTAGATGGCAGCAGATAGCTAAGTACTTTGAAACTGAAAAATTGGATGCGACCACTGGATGTAACAGGTAGCGGGAGCATTGTGGCGAGAAACGTAAAATTGGATCTACCAACAAATGGGTGAGGGAGCGAGACAAGAACTTTGTAGCGAGTGAGAAGTGAAAGTGATGGAGACGTTTTTGAAAAGGAATTATGCCATTTCTGAACATGATTCACATCCTCCGCTCTGCCCCGGGGCAGCTGTGGCCGCGTTGTAGTGGTTTAAGTATGGTACCGAGCGCAGACCATAGTCGCGTGGACAGAACCATAGACCGGACAGAATCATGGACTCGTGTTCAGGACCTCCCGTGTCCCTCATCCAAAACTCCCAAATTTAAAGCTCGGATACCTACATTTTCCCCATGCACCAACAATGCATGTTATTTGTGTACTTAAGAGCCCCCCCGAGTCATTATTTGACTATTTGGGCAGAGAGCGGATTTTCTTTGTTTTTTTTCCACACAGTTAGTGCCACTTTATTCCCAAACTCTTGTCAAATATTAAATAAAGCTTAATGTCAATGCCTGGACTTAAGCACTTTGATGACAATAACTGTATATTGTGAATATAGGCTACAGAGTATATATATTATAAGATAAGATATACTTTATTGATCTCACATAGAGTATGTATAGTATATATTTTTACATTTTCTCCTGGAGGTGTGCCATGAGATTTTTCAATGAAAAAAGTGTGCCTTGGCTCAAAAAAGGTTGAAAAACACTGCTCTAATAAACTAGAGGCGCTCGGCCTGCTCTGTCTGGGCGCTCAGCCTACTCTGGGCGCTCAGCCTACTCTGGGCGCTCAGCCTACTCTGGGCGCTCAGCCTACTCTGGGCGCTCAGCCTACTCTGGGCGCTCAGCCTACTCTGGGCGCTCAGCCTACTCTGGGCGCTCAGCCTACTCTGGGCGCTCAGCCTACTCTGGGCGCTCAGCCTACTCTGGGCGCTCAGCCTACTCTGGGCGCTCAGCCTACTCTGGGCGCTCAGCCTACTCTGGGCGCTCTCTAGAACAGTAGCTGGTTATTTCCTTCCAAACATCTTTAAAGCCGGATTATCCCTGACCCCTTTCACTGAGACTGGCCTCAGGATCACAGGTGTTTATGACAGGGACCAGAGAACCATGACAGGGACCAGAGAACCATGACAGGGACCAGAGAACCATGACAGGGACCAGAGAACCATGACAGGGACCAGAGAACCATGATAGGGACCAGAGAACCATGACAGGGACCAGAGAACCATGACAGGGACCAGAGAACCATGACAGGGACCAGATGAAAGGGACCATAGAACCATGACAGGGACCAGAGAACCATGACAGGGACCAGAGAACCATGACAGGGACCAGATGAAAGGGACCAGAGAACCATGACAGGGACCAGAGAACCATGACAGGGACCAGAGAACCATGACAGGGACCAGAGAACCATGACAGGGACCAGAGAACCATGACAGGGACCAGAGAACCATGACAGGGACCAGAGAACCATGACAGGGACCAGAGAACCATGATAGGGACCAGAGAACCATGACAGGGACCAGAGAACCATGACAGGGACCAGAGAACCATGACAGGGACCAGAGAACCATGACAGGGACCAGAGAACCATGACAGGGACCAGAGAACCATGACAGGGACCAGAGAACCATGACAGGGACCAGAGAACCATGACAGGGACCAGAGAACCATGACAGGGACCAGAGAACCATGACAGGGACCAGAGAACCATGATAGGGACCAGAGAACCATGACAGGGACCAGAGAACCATGACAGGGACCAGAGAACCATGACAGGGACCAGAGAACCATGACAGGGACCAGAGAACCATGACAGGGACCAGAGAACCATGACAGGGACCAGAGAACCATGACAGGGACCAGAGAACCATGACAGGGACCAGAGAACCATGACAGGGACCAGAGAACCATGACAGGGACCAGAGAACCATGACAGGGACCAGAGAACCATGACAGGGACCAGATGAAAGGGACCATAGAACCATGACAGGGACCAGAGAACCATGACAGGGACCAGAGAACCATGACAGGGACCAGATGAAAGGGACCAGAGAACCATGACAGGGACCAGAGAACCATGACAGGGACCAGAGAACCATGACAGGGACCAGAGAACCATGACAGGGACCAGAGAACCATGACAGGGACCAGAGAACCATGACAGGGACCAGAGAACCATGACAGGGACCAGAGAACCATGATAGGGACCAGAGAACCATGACAGGGACCAGAGAACCATGACAGGGACCAGAGAACCATGACAGGGACCAGAGAACCATGACAGGGACCAGAGAACCATGACAGGGACCAGAGAACCATGACAGGGACCAGAGAACCATGACAGGGACCAGAGAACCATGACAGGGACCAGAGAACCATGACAGGGACCAGAGAACCATGACAGGGACCAGAGAACCATGATAGGGACCAGAGAACCATGACAGGGACCAGAGAACCATGACAGGGACCAGAGAACCATGACAGGGACCAGAGAACCATGACAGGGACCAGAGAACCATGACAGGGACCAGAGAACCATGACAGGGACCAGAGAACCATGACAGGGACCAGAGAACCATGACAGGGACCAGAGAACCATGACAGGGACCAGAGAACCATGAAAGGGACCAGAGAACCATGACAGGGACCAGAGAACCATGACAGGGACCAGAGAACCATGACAGGGACCAGAGAACCATGACAGGGACCAGAGAACCATGACAGGGACCAGAGAACCATGAAAGGGACCAGAGAACCATGACAGGGACCAGAGAACCATGACAGGGACCAGAGAACCATGACAGGGACCAGAGAACCATGACAGGGACCAGAGAACCATGACAGGGACCAGAGAACCATGACAGGGACCAGAGAACCATGAAAGGGACCAGAGAACCATGAAAGGGACCAGAGAACCATGAAAGGGACCAGAGAACCATGACAGGGACCAGAGAACCATGACAGGGACCAGAGAACCATGAAAGGGACCAGAGAACCATGAAAGGGACCAGAGAACCATGACAGGGACCAGAGAACCATGACAGGGACCAGAGAACCATGACAGGGACCAGAGAACCATGACAGGGACCAGAGAACCATGACAGGGACCAGAGAACCATGACAGGGACCAGAGAACCATGACAGGGACCAGAGAACCATGACAGGGACCAGAGAACCATGACAGGGACCAGAGAACCATGACAGGGACCAGAGAACCATGACAGGGACCAGAGAACCATGACAGGGACCAGAGAACCATGATAGGGACCAGAGAACCATGACAGGGACCAGAGAACCATGACAGGGACCAGAGAACCATGACAGGGACCAGAGAACCATGAAAGGGACCAGAGAACCATGAAAGGGACCAGAGAACCATGACAGGGACCAGAGAACCATGACAGGGACCAGAGAACCATGACAGGGACCAGAGAACCATGACAGGGACCAGAGAACCATGAAAGGGACCAGAGAACCATGACAGGGACCAGAGAACCATGACAGGGACCAGAGAACCATGACAGGGACCAGAGAACCATGACAGGGACCAGAGAACCATGACAGGGACCAGATGAAAGGGACCAGAGAACCATGACAGGGACCAGAGAACCATGACAGGGACCAGAGAACCATGACAGGGACCAGATGAAAGGGACCAGAGAACCATGACAGGGACCAGAGAACCATGACAGGGACCAGAGAACCATGACAGGGACCAGAGAACCATGACAGGGACCAGATGAAAGGGACCAGAGAACCATGACAGGGACCAGAGAACCATGACAGGGACCAGAGAACCATGACAGGGACCAGATGAAAGGGACCAGAGAACCATGACAGGGACCAGAGAACCATGACAGGGACCAGATGAAAGGGACCAGAGAACCATGACAGGGACCAGATGAAAGGGACCAGAGAACCATGACAGGGACCAGAGAACCATGACAGGGACAAGAGAACCATGAC